TTTTTTTTTGTCAGCAAGAAGGAAATGGTTTTAGGTTGCAAAGGAAAGACTTGGGTTAAACACCAGGAAGGCATTTTATAACAAGAACAATGGTGAGGAAATGAAGTCAGGCCACTGGAAAGAATCTTGAGGTTGGAGAAGGAAGGCGAAATCTGATTTTATCTACTTATGGGGAGGGAAAGAGGGAGGAATCCAAGGGGAATGTCCTCAAATGACAGAAAACATAATCTTCACAGGCAGTACAATTTTCTGTTGTGTTCCTACAAGCAGAAATTTGTAAATTTAAGATCTGAAAGGAGACATATTTTTACCTGGAGTATATCTCACACAAAGACGTTGTCGTATTAACTCTGATTTCTTTGAGCAGTGTTTTGCTTTAATAATTTTTTGCACATGTTCCTGGAGCAGTTAAGGATCATGACCTAACACATCAGGAGGCACCAGGCTAGGTAAGGCGCCAGCGTAAGATAAACAAACAAAGCAATATAATTAATCTCTCTCTCTTTCTTCTCGTTTAGCATTGCTGCAAAGTTGACAGCAGAGAATGTGCTATACAGCTTCTATTTTAAAATACTCAAAACTATTATTATTTTCTGCTATTATACTGTGATCCAGAGAAACCCAAATCAGTTTGTTAGGCTCTTACATCTTGACAGATCTTGCCAATCACATATTTATTTAAACTTTCATAAAACTTAATGCTTTTCTTTGCCAATTGGCAAAGTGATCACAAACCAGAACATTAACAGATTAACAGAGTTGGAAGGGACCTTATAGGTCATCTAGTCCAACCCCCTGCTCAAGCAGGAGACCTTATACCATTTCTGACAAATGGCAGTCCAAACTTTTCTTGAAAGTGTCAAGTGATGAAGCTCCCACAACTTCCGAAGGCAAGCTGTTCCATTGGTTGATTGTTCTCACTGTCAGAAAATTCCTCCTCATTTCTAGGTTGAATCTCTCCTTGGTCAGTTTCCATCCATTATTCCTTGTCTGGCCTTCAGGTGCTTTGGAAAACAGCTTGACGCCCTCCTCTAACCAGGTTAGAAACCAGGAGACTGTGAATTCTAGTCTCACTTTAGACATGAAACCCAGCTGGGTGTCTTTGGGCCAGTTGTCACAATCAATAGATGAACACTCTGTTGTGCAGAGTAAAGAAATTGAGTGTAGAGAAAACAAAAAATCTAAAATAATGTTAACCTTAAAGAGCTTTGATAACCAAAATTGAACGAGGGGATCAAACTCAATGGGTTCAAACCCAGGTTCATGTCAGAAAGCCTGTCACAACCTCTCTTCAGTTCTTAATAAAGGAAAGTGATGCATATCATACTACATTTTGCTGCCCTTTCAACATGCCTTTTCTGAGCACCCAGAATAGGTTTGGTCTCTGCTGCCATCTATACAACTTTAACATATATTATAAGGCCATTTGGAAGTGGCTCCTTCAGCTGAAATTCCAGTTCTATTCAATCTCATTTGTTGATCATGTAAAAAGCCTCCTCCAAATGGCACAATATTGCAGTTATTCTTTGTTGTTGTTGTTGTTGTTGTTGCATTTTTCATCATATCATCAATTGAGCGGACATTTTTATGGTTTCTTATAGCCACGCGTTGACTTTTTGATCACCTTAAGGCAATAAAGAGTTGGAGTTTGAGGCAGTGATGGAATTCAAATTTTTTTACTACCGGTTCTGTGGGCGTGGCTTGGTGGGCGTGGCAGGGGAAGGATACTGCAAAATCCCCATTCCCACCCCACTCCTGGGGGAAGGATATTGCAAAATCCCCATTCCCTCCCCACTCCTGGGGGAAGGATATTGCAAAATCTCCATTCCCACCCCACTCTGGGGCCAGCCAGAGGTGGTATTTGCTGGTTCTCCGAACTGCTCAAAATTTCCGCTACGGGTTCTCCAGAACCTGTCAGAACCTGCTGAATAGCACCCCTGGTTTGAGGTATCTCCTAGCTTCCATCTAGTGGTTGTTTGGATTTGTGTAGAGGCAGACAACCAGTAAGTGTTAAAGACCTGGGCAGGAACTGTAAATTACCCTAACATGCAAAGGACCCAGGGAACCTTTGGGAGCAGCAACCAGGTAAGGGAATTCCATATCATATAAGCCATTTTTTTAAAAAAAGGCAAATCATTTCAGTTACATGCATGAAGCAGAGACTGTTCAATTTCAGAGTTTCACTTTGTTATGGATTATTTAAAAAGGAGAAATTAAATGACTGCAAATGCTGGGTTTCTGATTCACCTTGCAGTCAAATCAGCACTGAAGTACAGGTGCTGGTTCCAAAGACTGGGTGGAAGGAGCAATTCTGCAGCACATCTGCCATACCAAGACCAACCAACTTGCTGCCTCTGACCACATCAAACCTCCCCCCCCCCATTGGATGTCAGAGCAGAAAGTCTTTGCCTGGAATAAGAGGAAAAGCACCACATCTGCAATAATCCACCTAAAGGTATCTTCAGGCTACTGCAGCAAGTTCGTAAGAGCCGTAAAAGGTTAGCCTCTTTTTTCTGTAGCACGCAAGCTAGGTGGATCATCAGTCAAATAAATCTTGGTCAAATATCATTGACTTGATTTGACAGACAAGTGGACTTTTTTTTTTACACAACACTTTGGAAACTTTAGAATTTGAGGTGTAGTGAGCCTGATTGGTTGGTTGGTTTCAAAAAAGGATTGGACCAATACATGAAAGTCATGATGATCAATGGCTTGATACCTCTGAAGGCCATCTTCTGTAAGACTAGAGCAGTGGTGAAGTCTAAAATTTGTTACTACCGGTTCTGTGGGCGTGGCTTGGTGGGAGGGAGGGTAATGTGACTTGATGGGCGTGGCCAATTTTTTTTTTACTTTTAAAACCATTTTTTCTACAACTTCTTTGGTGAAGAGGTTGTAAAAAAATGCTTTCAAAAGGCTCTGACGATCCCAGCTGATTGGCAGAGGCTTTTTTTCTTTTAAATGCCTCTGACGATCCAAGCTGAGTTGCCTGATCAGCAGAGGCATTTTTTCTTTTAAAAGCCTCTGACGATCCAAGCTGAAGAGGTTGTAGAAAAAATGCTTTTAAAAGCCTTTGACGATCCCAGCTGAGCCGCGCGATCATCAGAGGCTTTTTTTTTAACTTTTAAAAGCATTTTTTTGGCCAAAGAGGTTGTAGAAAAAATGCTTTTAAAAGTAAAAAAAAAAAAAGCCTCTGATGATTGTATGGCTCAGCTGGGCATGGGGGGGCAGGGATTTTTGCTACTGGTTCTCCAAACCACCATCAGGTGATCCGGTCCGAACCGGGAGCATTTCACCCCTGGACTAGGGGCATCCTTGTGTAGTTGGTTGCCCACTGTGAGAACAGGCTGCCAGACTAGATTGGCCAAGGCTCTGAACCATCAGGGTAAGCAGTGGTGAAATCCGGTTGGTTCTATCCGGCTCGCACGAACTGGTAGTGCCAGTCACGGGAGGCTCCGCCAACCCACCAGGACTTCATTACATCCCATATTTTACCCTCTGCGTATGCGCAGAAGGCTCTGCAAATGTGCAGAAGAGGCGCGTGAGAGCATAGCGAGCGCAAATGCTCACACTCCCGAACTGGTAGCAAAGGTAAGTGCATTTCACCACTGATTGGGCAACACTGTTTTTATGTTCTAACTAGTAGTTTAAGTAAGCACTTAAACATTTGGGCAACAAAGATGATTCTTTCCTTTCTTGTTCCTATCCCTGAACAAGTCTAATTACATTTTAGTTTTGAATTTTTTTAAATAATTCACTTTTTTAGAATTAATTTACTAACCAATTGAGAACTTAAACATCATAAATTTATAAGTTTAAGTCTGCCACTAGTTTCCACCTGAATAGAAATTAGGGAATGATGCTTCTTAAGCAAAAGACTGCTTGATAAAACTGATTTTATAAGACTGTATAAGAAACTGCAGATGGGCTGCAACTTTGAAACAATCAAGATCAGTTTTCTCCTAAAGTCCTATGGGGAACTGAGAAATAAAATTCATTTTGAAAGATGAAGCCTTGTGCATCTATTAAAGAAGCTTAACATTTGCAAGGAACTAAAAGGTTACGGCTCTTCCACAAAATCATCTGGTGTTAGGCTGAAGAACATATGGCCATGCAGAGTTGGGGGTCTGTGGCTTTCTTGATGCTGGATTAGAACCATCATGATCTCTACCCAATGGATTTGCTACTTGGGCTGAAGGGAGCCAGTCCCTTCTTCAAGGGTTTCCTCTAAATAATCCTCAAAACCAAAAAACACCAGTGGGATCTGAAGGTCAAACTTGTCAAGGGAGATATAAGGTGAGCAGCAAGTTCACTGGAAGTTTTAAAAAATAGACTGGACAACCATTTGACCAGGATGGTATCACATCTCCTTCCTTGAGCAGAGGGTTGGACTAGAAGATCTCTGTGGTCCCTTTCAGCCCTATGATTCTATGTTCTATGGATCTCATTCTTGTACAAATCTGCGGGAGGCCTTTTTCCATTTATCTTTCCATGATATCTTTGCAGGTGGCTTCCAAAGGAAGCTGCCCCAACAGGCTCTCAAAACGACTGGAATAAGATAGCAAGCGTCTAACCGGTGTCTTTGGAAATCAAGCAAGTGCTGTTAGCTAAACCCAAACTCTCGCTAGCAAATCCTCCGGCGTCTAAGCGGAGCAACCTTGCCATTAGTAAGGGGGAAAGAATCGCCAGGCGTCCTGCTTGCGCGATCCGCTGCTCCTTAACGCCTTAACGCGCGGCTTGAGTAGCCAAGGCGTCCTTTCCGCAAATCTTGACCGCTTCACTTCTAATCTTAAAGGTCGGGGCCTGTTTTGAGAGAGTGGGGGGTGAGTCCAATTCATCTCGCTTTCCTTCAGTCGCCGCAGGAAAAATGGGTGGGATGCAGATTATTGGGCAACAAGTGGAACCGGGGAGGAGTACATACACACGTCAGGATGGCAGCGGAAAGACCCAACTAGCTGAAGTGCAATCCTAACCGTTGGTGTGGTGTTTTTTTTTTTTTTTTTGGTATTATATACCTCCCTCCCCATTCTCCGCCTCTTTGCTATTCCTACGCCTATGCCTGGGTTTGTTTGGTTTTTTTTTTTTTTCTCCCATGCAAATTCCCGGCAAAGGGGCAGCGCGAACGTGAGAATGCCTTGGCCCCTTTCCTTGGTCAGGAGAGAAGAGCTTCGCCCCAGATTAGGTGGGGCTTGGATTTCTCGCGGCGAGAACCATCTCTCCTCCTCCTCCTCCTCCTCCTGCTGCTGCGGCAGAAAGTTCCCCTCCTTTTCCTTCCTGGAAGGGGGGGGAAAAGGAAAATAAATGACCAAACATACAAATATATATATATATATAAATCTCCTTGAAATCTGGCCTCTAGGCGAAGGCAAGCGGGACGCTTCTTGGGTGGAGGGAATACGCCCCTCCCGCGTGCAGGGGCGGCGGGCTCGGTCTTCTTTTCCCTCGTAGGCATTCGAAGGAGGGCATGAGCCCCTTCGCCGGGCGCGTTAGGCGATGGATTCCCGCACCGCCAAATCCCTGGGCTGCTTTTTCTGGCCGCTGCTCGTCTGCCTGCCGCTGGCCCAAGGTAAGAAGAGAGTCCCGGGGTGACTGAAGCTTCTGCGGAGTCCGGTAAAAAGGGTCCGTTGCTTGGGCGAATGGGCGCTAGTTCGCCGTACGGCGCTAGGATGAAGCAGCTGGAGGGCTTCGGAGCCCGTCAAGGGTTTGCCGTAGCCGGTTTCAACCCTGCTCCCCTCGGAAGTAAGCCCCGATGGTTTCACGTGACGTTTCCAAAACCTGTCCGTAAAAGCCTGGGCGGACCGCTTTCTTTGGTGCGAGGCTCTTGGCTTTGGGAGCCTACTTTGCAAGGAAATGCGTTTTGTGGACAGTTTTGCTCTTCTTCAGATTTTTTTTTTTTTCTCTTTCTTTTCTGGTCGAAGTGCCCGTCGGGTTTGTGAAAGCTCGGGATGGTGGAAAGGGATGGGCTGACTCGCCTGTCCTGATATCTGATGCTCTCGACTTTATAATCTTTATTCTCTACAGCTAATTTGGCTGTTCCTAGAAACGTAGATGGTTCTTCAGCGGGAAAATGTGTGTGTGCCTGCGTGTGTATGCAGGATAGATGGATGGATAGATAGATAGATAGATAGATAGATAGATAGATAGATAGATAGATAGATAGATAGATGGGCAGCCAGGCAGCCAGGTAGGAGATAGATAGATAGATAGATAGATAGATAGATAGATAGATAGATAGATAGATAGATAGATAGATAGATAGATAGATAGATAGATAGATCAGCCAGGCAGCCAGGTAGAGATAGATAGATAGATAGATAGATAGATAGATAGATAGATAGATAGATAGATAGATGGGCAGCCAGGCAGCCAGGTAGGGAGATAGATAGATAGATAGATAGATAGATAGATAGATAGATAGATAGATAGATAGATAGAGGCAGTAGAGATAGATAGATAGATAGATAGATAGATGATAGATAGATAGATAGATAGATAGATAGATAGATAGATAGATAGATGAGAGAGAGAGAGAGAGAGAGAGAGAGAGAGAGAGAAGGTAGGAAGGTAGGTAGGTAGGTAGGTAGGTAGGTAGATAGGTGGTAGAGAGAGAGATAAGGTAAGTAGGACCCAGATTGTGGGGGCAATAAGCTGACTTTGTATAAATATACAAAAGTATGAATGCTATTGCTTAATGCATTGTAAGCCGCTCTGAGTCTTCGGAGAAGGGAGGCATATAAATCAAATTTTAAAAAAGGTAGGTAGGTAGGTGGGTGGGTGGGTGGATGGATGGATGGGAGTGTGCTGTGTTTAAACTGTTTATTTCCTTTGAAAGTCTTATTATAGGGTAACAGTTTTAGACATCAATAATAAGCTTGTTTTAGATAATGACTTCTTTTCATTTTTCAACCCTTTTTAGGAACTGAAAAGGAGTTAGGGATTTAATGTGTTCAGATCCGTTAATTACTGCAATGAGTCCCAGCTGCAAAAATATGACAAACTTTCTGTGACATTTATTTTCATTTTTAATTAGAACGAGAAATGCCCATATCTTTTCTTACACTGAAGTACACTTGCTTGTATTTTTTTCCCCAACATATCCGAGCTTCAGTCATTTGTATTTTTCATCTCCTATAATGGACATCATCAGTGAGAAATTGATAAATATGAAACCGCCAGATGTGATTGAATCGTGTTGTGTAAAACATGTCTTATGTGTACACATTTTATAGACTGAAACCTTGCACGTTAAGTCTAGCTTGATTAAGCGTCATATATTTCAGTGATATCACTCTGCAATTAACTTTTCCATGAAATCAATGGGAATTGAATTTTTATGGACCATCCACCACAATTATCATTTATTTATTGCAATTTATATGTTCCTTAGTCCAGCCAGATTCCAAATGAATTACAGCTAACAGTAGGATTGCAACCTAATGTATGTTCTGATTTGTAGATATTTTTACAAAAGTTGACAAAAAAGGGGGGATGTTCAGTTCTGTTATAGATCTTGTACGAAATCACATGTGAATGCCAGATAAAATCATAAAACTCTGCAGTCATGGCACCCAGTCTATCATGTCAGATCATACATTATCCTAGATCTTTAAAGGTCTCATCCTTTGAATCAATTATATGTCCTATGTACTAATATTGACATTCTAGTTTTAGCTATAGTTTTTTTTTTTTTTTTTTTGGTTTAATTTATATGCCGCCCTTCTCCGGAGACTCAGGGCGGTTTACAATGCATTAAGCAATAGCCTTCATCCTTTTGTATATTTATACAAAGTCAGTTTATTGCCCCCACAATCTGGGTCCTCATTTAACCTACCTTTGAAAGGATGGAAGGCTGAGTCAACCTTGAGCCTGGTGAGATTTGAACTTGCAGTAATTGCAACCAGCAGATGTTAATCTATTAATAACAGTGCTTTAGTCCACTGTACTACAGGCTCTTCAGTTTATAATCACATGGTAAGATAGGCTGTGGCAATATCAAATAGCTACATCTTGTATAATTTTTTTAGAAGTCCCATTGAGTGCAGTAAGGTTCAAGATCAATTATATATTACTTTATCCTCTGAAATTCATTGAGGCCTGTTCACAGAGATCTGTGTGCAGGATTGTCTTTTTCACCCTGTTTTGAGTGAACTAAATTGTTTTAGGAGTTATATTCTACTATTGTGGCAATATAATGAACTTCTAATTCCTATGCTTATTTTTTGCTTTTCTCAATTACTTAATATCAAACTGAGGAATGTTGGATTTATTTAATATTGGTGTTGTGGTTTAAACCAAAAGCCAAATCATTGTTAGTAGTGCCTTTTCTTTGATCTTTTATTGTTGAATAAATGCAAGCATCTGAAACCCACAGTGTTTTATTTCAATATTGTACTTTCAACTAAAAGCATATAAACAAGAATTCAGGTGTCAAGTGAGCGGAGCATTATTTAATATGACTTTCAATGGCAGATTCATGTTCACAGCTGAAAAGTGTATATTCTATTGTACAATTCTAATAGGAAGACTTGAAACAGAGGTAGCAGTATGAAGTGCAATTGGTCAGAATCTATGCCATTCAATATCATTTCTTCCTCCTTCCCATTGCTTCTCCCAACAGTTGAACTATACTTGTTGATCTGGCTCCATAAGAAAGTATATTGACAGTCCAAATTTTAAAAAAGGGAGAATTTAAAAATACAAAGTGACTAGAGGTTTTAAAATTATGCCTACATTTTTCAGTGAACCATTTTATTGCAAAGGCTGAATAGGCACTATCCTAGGGTGTCAAATTTTAGGGATACCCAAAATGGAAAAAAAAAAATCTCTGAAAAACACAATAAAAAAGCAAAAAGTAGTAACTGTGTTTTCTGTGAATTTGCATGCCCACTCACCAGGTCAATAAAATTTTGCAGAATTGTTACAGTATCACAAGAATGAGTGCTACTGTAATTAAAATTATTTACTTAGGGTGAAAATGTCTGAGAAAAGAAAGAAAGTCATCCAGGGCTGAAAATCATAACTGTAAAGTTCAAAAATGTGAAGGAAAAAAGAAACAACAGGGCACTTTTTAAAAATTCCTAACAAAATCAGAAAATGAGCCAAACTATACACGGCACCAGTATATGACTTTTCGTAAAGACCCAGAATGTCTAGAGTGTATTGCTAATAGACTATTGTGTTGATGTGTTTACTATTCTAAAGTCATTGCAAACATGTTTGCAAGAATGTCTGAAATGTTACATAGCAATTCCTTTTTTTAGGAGCTGATTGCAAACCTGGTTGTCATCCAGTGAATGGATTTTGTGAAGTTTCCAATGAATGCAGGTAAGTTAATTGATAGCACGTTTTCCAGAGGGAAAAAAAACAAGGGACAAGTATTGTTTTAATTAAGCGCTATTGCTACTTTACATTTTTATTTAAGAATCATTTACGTAAAATGCAATTCAGTATTTTAATCAGACTATTCATCATACTTGATTTAAACTTTTAGCAACCATTTTTAAAAACAACAATATACAACAGCCTTCAAGAAAAGGAAAAAAAAAAAGTTTCTCAAACCAGCAGAACAAAAAAGAATAGGCAGATCAAAGATTTCCTCTGAAATCTGCTCCAGAGGAACGAGAGGCCTCTTGGATGCATTATGATGTGGAGGAAAGGGAAGTCTCGTTGGACAATTCGGATATTGTTCAACAACAATAGAAACTCCATTCGTTCACATATCAATGCATATCTTCTCAACTCAAGTCTTTCTAGGTAGTCCATATTTGAGTTCCAAAAGAATCAAGGCAGGACATTATATAGACATACATTGAGTTTGTTCCTGATGAATATGATTCTTTTCTGTTTTCATAGTTTCAAACTAGGTTTGACCAGTTTTCAATTCAAAGTAGAGCTGGAAGGGACCTTGGAGGTCTTCTAGTCCAACCCCCTACTCAAGCAGGAGACCCTATACTATTTCAGACAAGTGGCTGTTCAGTCTCTTCTTAAAAACCTACAGTGATGAAGCACCCACAACTTCTGAAGGCAAAACTGTTCCTTTGGTTAATTGTTTCACTGTTAGGAAGTTTCTCCTTAATTCCAGATTGCTTCTTTCCTTGATTAGTTTCCATTCATTGTTTCTTGTCCTGCCCTCTGGTGCTTTGGAAAATGAGTTGACTCCCCTCTTCTTTGTGGCAGCCCCTCAAATACTGGAATACTGCTATCATGTCACCCCAATCCTTTTCTCTAGACTAGCCATACCCAGTTCCTGCAACCATTCTTCATATGTTTTAGGCTCCAGGACTTTAATCATTCTAGCTGCTCTTTTCTGCACTGCCAAAATCTCAACATCTTTTTTGTAATGTGGTGACCAAAACTGGATGCAGTATTCCAGGTGAGGTGTTACTAAGGTTTTATAAAGCAGAACTTTAATGGACCAGTCCGTTAAAAGCTTGGCTAATCTTTCTTGGCATTTTTCTCACTCCTGGTGACACTTTTCCATCTTAGTGACTTAGCCTCATTGAGTTCTTTTGGGAGACATCTATTTCTTTGGAAACTTAGCTTGTGGTGTTTTTAAAGTCATCAATCTGATATGAATTGATAACATGCTGCATTAAATTGACATTTTCCCGAGTTACATTTCTGTTTTTTTTGTCCTGCTATGAGTAAATTTCCCACACTCCATTTTTCATACATGTCCATTAATACAAATAAATTGCAAAAAACTACCATATTTTTTGGAGTATGAGACGCACTTTCCCCCCCCCTAAAAGGGGGTGAAAATTTAGGTGCGTCTTATACACCGAATGTAGCCCCGCCCACCCACTGCCCCCCCTTTTGGCCTCTGCCTTGCAGCAGTGACCTCCTTGCAAGCAGACAGCAAGAAAAACAGTTCCTTTCAGCTTCAGCACAGCCTAACTAGCACAAGTTGATTGGATCGCCTCCCGACTCTCAGCTGATTTGCTCTCAGCTGTTTTGTGCAGGGCTCTGCTGCTTGCTGCAAAGAGGTAAATTGCTGGAGCAGATTTTTTTTCCCCTTGTGCTAATCAAGCTATGCTGAAAATGAAAATGAAAGTAAAACAGGCTGTTTGCTGTTTGCTGCAATGAGGCAAAATTGCTCAGAGGCAGAGGGAGATTTCTTTTTCTTCTTTTCCTCACCAAAAAAGATAAGTGCATCTTATACTCCAGTGCATCTTATACTCCGAAAAATATGGTACTAGTTGTTGTATTGTAGTATTATATAATAATTGGTGTTATGCCAGTGGCAATAATATGCTAATACATGATTCATTGATATTATTATACATAATTCATGTATTCTGCCATTGGTGGTGTTAGCATCATCTATATTTGATGTATTTAAAACTACACTGCTCAAAAAAATAAAGGGAACACAAGCAGAAGACATCCGAGATCTGAATGAATGAAAAAGCCTTATTAAATACTTTGTTCGTTACATACAGTAGTTTTGTGTTCCCTTTAGTTGTTTGAGCAGTGTATAAACTACTGTATGTAAAGAACAAAGTATTTAATAAGGCTATTTCATTCATTCAGATCTCAGATGTTTTCTGCTTGTGTTCCCTTTATTTTTTTGAGCAGTATATTTTTCATACATACTGATATAATGTCCAGGATACAATGACAATGCTCAGTTCACTAACAAATCCCCCCCCCTTCATTTATAGGGAAACTTTAACTGAAATAGATGTGTTCAGAGCATTGGACTCTATTTTAGTGTTTATTTTAAAAAGAAAATGAAAAATCATAAAGCTGCTACTTGCCAGCAGACTTCAGCATCAAAATATTGGGTAACTCTGGGAGATGCAGAAAAAGACTGAGACTGCACATGGCCATGCAGTGTAGGTTGTCTATGTGATGAAAAGTGTGTTAATGAGATGATTATCATGGAACTTTCACTAAGAAAATCACACCAGTATTCTGTAGTTATTTTTAATCAGAATAAGGGATCTTATTACCATAACAATCAGAATAAGGGATCTTATTACCATAATTATATCTACAGTATCTAGTTTCTTAATTCTATTTGCAAAAAGATCTTTGCTTGATTTGCTATCTCATATTGTGTTTCTGCTAGATGCCGACCTGGTTGGCAAGGCCCTCTCTGTGATTGGTGTGTTCCTTTCCCAGGCTGTTTGCATGGGACATGTGTCAAACCAGGCCAGTGCATGTGTGAAGAAGGATGGATTGGTAGCCGCTGTGACACAGGTTTGGAGATCATTTCCTTTGCTGTTGAATGAAAATCCTGATGAAAACAGTTGGAGCTCCATCTGGTGTTGAAGATATCCTATGCATTTATTTAACATATTGCTATGCTGCAACAACTCTTGGTGTTTACATAGAAAAAGATACCATAGAAAACATATCCAATTTTTAAAAACACACACAACGGCACTATATTAATAAAAAGAAGATAGAATCCTTGGTGTTCTCTGAACTTGGTTATTTTCTTGCAGAGTTGCTAGCAAGAAGTTGCTAGACAATGTATATAAAAGGTAAAGGTAAAGGTTCCCCTTGCACATATGTGCTAGTCGTTCCCAACTCTAGGGGTGGTGCTCATCTCCATTTCAAAGCCAAAAAGCCAGCACTGTCCAAAGTCTCTGTGGTCTCTGACATGACTAAACACCAAAGGCGCATAGAACGCTGTTACCTTTCCACCAAAGGTGGTCCCTATTTTTCTACTTGCATTATTTACGTGCTTTCGAACAGCTAGGCTGGCAGAAGATGGGACAAGTAATGGGAGCTCACTCTGTTACACGGCACTAGGGATTCGAACTGCTGAACTGCCGACATTTCGATCGACAAGCTCAGCATTTTAGCTACTGAGCCACCACGTCCCTGGTATTAAAAGCACCTGGCTTCAATTCTTGCTAACTTTAGTTTAGAAAGAGTCAAAGATAAAATTGTTCATACTTGCTGAAGGCTTGATGAAGTGACTGGAAGAACATCTGCAAGATCATCTCTGATACATTTGATTGTATGGATTCTAATAAATGCAGTCCCCTGTTATGTGAGCTCTGAGACTCATGGGCTGGACCTCTGCCTTTCCTATCTTGTTTGACTTGCCAAAGGAGGGTCTGGGAAGCTGGGATAAGAATGTCTCTATGAAGGAGAAGGTAAGTGTCAGGGATCTTGAAGGAGAAGGGCACTTCTGAAATGCCCTCCCTATATCTGACAATATACCGTGTTTCCCCCAAAATAAGACCCTGTCTTATATTTTTTTGAACCCTGAAATAAGTGTTTGGCCTTATTGCCATGCGCTCAAAAGCCTGATTGGGCTTATTATCAGGGGATGTCTTATTTTGGGGGGGAAACAGGTAGTACAACTTGTTCCATCTTCAAAAAGTGATTAGGTCTCAGTTGCAGAGGATATTGGAAAAAGTGGTTTATTTGAATCCTCATCACTCCAGTTTCAGGCTTCGGTGTGGGGCAAAAACTGTTTCATAGTACTTATGGATGATCTCCAATAGGATCTAGATAAAGGAATAGCAGTTATTTTGCTCTTACTAGATGATAATGTTTTCGGGAATGTAGGTGAGGGCTGGAACTCAGAAATAATATTTCATTAGAGGTTATATTCCTTCCTAATGAAGCAGTTCAAATTAGTAGTGATGGAGAAGAGAAATCAAGATCTTGCCCAGTACAATATGCAAAACCTAGGGCTTGGTCCTCTACCTTATCTATCTAGCATCTTAATAAAGTCATTAAAAGAGGTCATATATCAGTTCAGAATCAGAAATTATCAGTAGGCTAACAATTCCTAGTTATCTATCTCTGCCCTGGACCAAGCAGGAGATGTAGTGGCTGCCCTAACCCAGTGTCTGGAAGCTGTCAAACAAGTTCATACAGCAAGGGGGAAATGGCTATCTCTAAAACCATAAGGCTCCAACTTTGGCTGTGGGTATCTGTGCTATCCCTAAAAGAGAGTAAGTCCATGATCTGGGAACAAAGGGATCCATTCCTGTGTTCTGTGCATTGTGTTGTTATGATCTAGACTCTACTTTTTCAGATTTGTTTTACAGTGTTACATGAAAATATGCAACGGAAGGAATTCAAGTTGTAAGACATATTATATCACTTGCCCTTCTTTTCCCCTCCAACCTAAATCTCTGTCTAGGGATCCTTTTAGATACATGGATCCTCCTGGAAACTGTATCCAGGAGAGATTGTGCTCAATTTCGGTCGGTGTGCTAGATGAGTCACTCATGCCCTCATTCCCTTGTGGCTGAACTATCAGCATCCTTTATTGCCTTTGAAGGCTATTTGGAGGAACTATAATCGGGATAGGCCAAAAACTGATTCAGCAAAGTAATACTACTTTTTTGGTCACTCCCCTGGGTAGCTGTAAGTTTCCAAATACAATTCAAAGTGTTGATAAAGGTTTTGATGTTTGGATACTAGGGCCTTGATGGCGAACCTATGGCACGCGTGCCAGAAGTGGCACATAATGTCCTGTCTGATGGCACACGAGCCATCGTTCCAGTTCAGCTCCGCTGCACATGCACACATACCTCCCACCGGCCAGCTGATCTTTGGGTCTCTGCCACACATGCGCAGGGGGTGTGGGGCCTGGGGGGGGATGTGTGCATGCACACGGGGCAGGGCGCGGGGGGGCACGTGCGCATTGCATTTGGGGGTTCAGGCACAGGCGCACGCTTTGGGCACTCAATCCAGAAAAGGTTAGCCACCACTTTACTAGGGGCTTTCAGGATTGCTTGCTCCAAGGGACCAGGAGGATGATTCATTTAATGATTTTAATATCCTGATGTTTTATTGTTTTATGTATAAAAGCTACCCAGTCTTATTATTGGGGTGCCACAGAAATCATGATGTATAAACAAGATATTTTGTTCAGATTTTAAAGAGCTGTTCTGATTGGATCAAACAGAATATTTCTGGTTTTGTATATTTTCCTTAAATGTAAATAAGCAAACATTAGTTATTGTGAGAGAAAGATAAACACAACAAGACTATGTTTCTCTTTGTTTTTTCTGTTTTAACACAGTTGTTCATCCTTGTTCTTCTAATCCTTGTTCAAATTACTCAAAGAATTGCATCGAGACTGGAAATGGTGGATACACTTGCTTGTGCGCTCACGGCTATATGGGAAAAAACTGTCATATGAAAAAGGGACCCTGTATTGTTAATGGGTAAATATGGATCACGTTTGTTGATTTACCTTTGACTTTGGTAACTAATACACTCTTCTTCCACTTTCCAGATGTGGCAGTTGCTGGAATTCCCAGTGAAAATTGTTGAAAGGAATCATCAAGATGACAGCCCCTCAATGTCTGTCTTTATATTTCTGTGCCTGTTCTCTACCCTTGTCAAATGGAGACTGGGGAAAGAATGCAACTTGTAAATGGGAAAGCAAATTCATTGTTTAGATAAATTTGATATATTCATTTGTTTTTGATGTGCTACTCACCAGCCCTGCTCACTTTTGGCTTCAGTATCTAACAGAGAGAAAAAAACCAAAGGCCTGAAGAAGGAGATTGGCCTTTTTGCCATTAAAAGGAGGCTGCTTTGCTGCAAATGTGTGTGTTCTCGAGCAGTAAAACTAAATTAATATGGTTAAGTCATTTCTTAGTTCATGAGTAAAAAAAAAAAAAGACAACAGTGAGTGTCATTTTGATTGGAACGTTGTGGGTAGCAGCACCACAGTTGACTAGAGGAGAACATTGAATGTAGTTTCTGTATTTTCCCATTTCTTTCCAGCAGAATTACATATATTGGAACAAGTAATTAGGAAGTAATCCCAACAAAGATTCCAATAGTTATGTTTTCAATATTTATAATGACTTTCCATACAAATGGAGAACATGTATATATTGTTTCAGAAAAATAGACTTCAAAGTATTGAAGTCTATTAGTTAGCTGCCATGTTTTACAGTATATGATGTTTTTAAACCCAATCTGAAAGTCTCTACTCAACTATGTTCCAGAATAGCAGTTTTGGACAAGAATCTTAACATTTGTCATACAAAACCTAGACTTATAAGCATGACTATATAATCTTTTTTTTCCTAATTGCAATATCAATTTCTTTCTTTTTGATTTTTTTCATAGTAAATTATACAATGAATAGATGAAACACATGAAGACACAAAGCATAAGAATAGAGAGACACATCTAAAATATTTTTTGATCTAATAGCATTGCAGGTATTTGTTGGACACCAGTAACTTTTCAGTCCTCAATATTTACTTTTCACCATTCATTTTTAACATTACAAAAAGCCATGGCACAAGAATACATCCTATTGGTACTAGACTGATCATATCCTAGGTTTTTGTGGTATTTAAGTACAAGTATCAGAAACCTAATATCTGATTTGCTTTCAAAGGAAGAGATTTGGTTTTCAGAATCATGGTCTGAACTTTGTAGATAGGTTGCTGGCACAAGATGGGATGTATCTTGCAGGAACTGATAAAAATATGTCGATGGGGAAGACTTTAAATACAAACCAATGTGTGGTGGAAATGCAATAAGACTTCATAAAGACTTGTACACTGTAGAAATAGCTGAAATGAGATTCTAAAAACACACAACGAAAAATCAGAATATTGGCTCAGAAAATTTATGACTTTCATTAGTTATAAACTAATATTAAGACCATGGGAAATAAGATGAGCCTGAGCTCTTAGTATAAAAGGCAAAAATGATTTAATAAACATGGCAGACATATGGTATGATGATTCTCTTGGAATGCAGCAACTGAAGGATACAATTTCTTCAAAAGGAACAAAAGCAGAGAAAAGGAAGAAGAGAACTACTGTATTGTTAAAAGATCTGCTCAGAACGAATGAATTTTGCAATACCATAGAATACATCTGGGTTAAAGTAAATGAACAAATAAAAACAATACAACTATTGTCTACTCTTCCATACACAATCAGGAAGAAGATATGAATGAAGCCTTTCCAAAGCAAATTGCAGTTTTGCCAAAGAGTTGCCTAAGATCCCAGGCAGTCAAGCTGTCAACCCCTTTTCACAAGTGAAACATGGCCTTTGCCAGCCTAGATTAATCTGGGACTTACATCTTACTTTGAGTTTGCTGTGTTCTCTGTACTCTAATACTCAGAACATTTCAAATGGATTGTGTTTGAAATGTTCTAGTAAAACACCTCCAGGGGTGGTTTTTCCTCAAACTTAAAACATTTCATTTTATGCATATGAGTTTTTTTAAAAAGGGTGGGGGAGAAAAATGTAAGGAAATAGAACTGCTACTGGTGTGAATTATAAATCAGCGGTCCCCAACCTTTCCGGCTTGGCAGCCTGGCAGGTTGGAAAGGGGATGGTTCAGTGAGCATGGTAGGCGTGCACATGCGCAGCTCCATTTGCACAAGTGATGGCCGGCAAGTGGAGCTCTGCATTCATGCATACACTTGCCCACCACTTGCGTGGCCCAGGTCTGAACAAGTGGGCTGCAGCCCAGCGGTTGGGGACCCCTGTTATAAAGTATCACCTCTTGTTCATGTATTTCTTTTTCCTCTTCTTTTGAATTGCAGCTCGCCTTGTCAAAATGGAGGAAGTTGTTTGGACGATGACGGGTTTGCACCTTACGCGTCTTGTGTGTGCTCTCCAGGATTTACTGGACAGTTTTGTGAGCTTGATATTGATGACTGTGAACCAAACCCGTGTGAAAACAGAGGCACGTGCACAGATATTGGCAAGAGCTTCCACTGCTCTTGTCCAATTGGCTATGGAGGCGTGTTGTGCAGCAACCGCATCCCAGCTTGTGATAGTAGCCCTTGTGAAAATGGTGGGACATGTCATGGACACCGTGGCAGAGGCTTCATGTGTATTTGCAAACCATACTTTGCTGGGCCCACCTGTAGTTTTTCCATTAGAAACACAAGTGTGAATGTGATGGCTAAACAAAGACAGAATCAGAATCACCACCTGCATTTGAGAGGGCACCTTAAACCAGCTCAGCTGCAAGAGAAGAAAATACTGACCATAAAAGAGACAATTGAAAACAGGCAGTCCTTGCTCACTAAGAGTCAGGTGATCTGCTTCATGGTCCTAAGCTTTCTTACATGTCTTGTTGTTTTGGGTACAACTGGAATTATATTTTTCTCTAAATTTGAAGTATGGCTAGCCAATGCCAGATACAGCCATTTACTGCGCAAGGAGAGGGATTGCTTTCTAAAAGCAAATGATGATGAAAATGTTTCTGTGAATATAATATTTCCTGAGAAGATTAACCAGAGTAACGAGTAGTCTGTGTATCTAAATCCTTTTATTTAGCAAGGACACCTCAAGTTCTATACGTGTCAGGGTCATAGATCCATTTTTATTTTTACCTGTGACAAAAATTCTGGCTTTGGACCAGTTGACAAAAAAGAGAGGTGCTCTGCTTTTGCCAGAGAAATACTCGTTTCCCAAACATGTTTTCTAGTTAAATTCTTTTGTGAACCAGGATTGCATAAACTTTTGGGGACTGAAGGTTACATTTAGCCCTTGAGTAAAAGCTAGGAATGCAAAACAGAAGAGTCTGGCCTACTTTAAAAAAATAATGTAAGTTTTAGTTTATTTAGTTAATTAACTATAATGTAATTACTCCTCATGCATTTAATATCATTTCCATTCTCTAACATTTTAAATTCAGCAGCAACTTTTTTAGGGGCTTTGAAGATCACACCAGGGCTTGTTTGAGGGAAGGGATATTATGTGCCAATGTTTACAGACCTATGACACTTAATTTAGGTTGTAATCCTACATTATATACCTGGAAATAAGTTCCAATATACTTTGTGGAGTTTGCTTCTGAACAGGCACATACACCATTGAATTATTGTTATTGTAAATAAAAAGTCAATACAATATTCTTAATTAAGATAGCTATTGTCATATTATGTGCTATGTTTGGCAACTGTGATATTTCTAAATGAATTTCTAATGCTTATTTTGAATAAATAGTTATTAAGGGCTACACAAATCAAACTGTAGGAGTAATTGTTTTCTTTTGATAATGTTAATTTATATATTTTCCTCAATTTGGGCCAAATATTTTCCAGTTGAAACAGTGAGAAAATAATGTCCATATCATCAGACACATGGCTAGAAGCATTTGGTAGATCAGAGCAAAGTTTTACAACCCTGGCAATTCTAAAATGGATAGATTTCAACTCCCAGAATTTCCCAGCCAGCCTTGTTGGCTGAGAAATTCTGGGAGTTGAAGTTCGCATGTCTTGAAAGTTGACAAGATTGAGAAATATTGGATCAGCACATCAGTGTCTGCAATTCAACATTCTATATTGATCTCAGTGGTCAACCAGTAGCCAACCTCAGGTTAATTAGATGCTGAATTCAAAGCTGATATCTCTTCCATTATTGTTCCCTGGCAGCTGGTTAATCAGTAGCATACTACTCTCCAAATAAAAAGATGCAATGACCAGTAATGAAAAGACTACGTATATATGGTACTTTTAAAGTTATCCCACTATATCCCCTGCAATAAACCATGGCCTAGTGATTAGTGCATGAGATTGGGTCTGCGCTCAACTATATATCTGATCGGGTGATTCTAGGCCATAGCTATCTTGCCATCCAAGGTATCTCACAAAGTTGATACTGAGGTAAAAAAGAAGTTAATCCCAATGTACTTAAGGTCTGAAGTAAAGTGGGACAAAATAAAGAAAAACTAAGCTAAATAGATCGGTGTGATTACTCTCCATGGATGTGATGAAGAAACAATGCTGAAGGAATAATGGATTTTTAAAGGCAAATTAGCTGATTCAGAGCAGAGGTGAGGTAATAAAAGGAGGCTTTCAATTTGTTACTTAAATCTGTTACCCTTTGTGCATTTCAGGAATAAGATAACTCTTAGTTCGCTTGCCCCCAAATTTAGTTTTTGCTCATGCTCATAGTTTTTACTGTATTCAGGGGGAGATTTGCTTATGCTGAAATTTATAACAAATCTAGGACACTTTAAAGATCAATATATTTGAAAACAAAAATCTACTTCATCAGATGCAATTATTTTTGCTGCAATAAAAATAGACTTGGGTTGATTTATCCCATTATCAATGAAAATAACAATAATAGTGATAAAATGTATATGTCACCTTACTCCCAACAATTCTGTGCCAATGTTTTAAACATCCGATTGTGTGAATGGTTTTTAACAGTAGATGTCAGATAACATAAAACCAGTCTGGACTGGAATTCTGACAGAGAGGTAAGAAATATGAAGACTTCAAATCTTTGTGTCTGCATGATGCTAAACTATATTCACCAACTGAGAGTACAGAATTAAGGCCTCACTTACCCATGTCAAAATCCTTTTTTTAACTAAAATAACTCTTCCCTTGCCTTTTGAAAGCCATTCCCATAAATTGTAATTGCACAAAAAATATTCTCTTGTATTTAGATTACTTTCATATGGCCTTTTGCTATATTAATGGTCACCATCTCTCTCTCTCTCCCTCCCTCCCTCCCCCCCTCCCTTGGACATATATTGGTTCCTGAAATTCTGTGTGTTATGGGGTGGGGGTGGGATGGATATGGAAGAAATAAATCAACACAAAAAATCCCTCTAAGCTGTTTTGTTTATGCACATGTGAAGTTCTGACCATATATCTTACAAAAATTATGCTTCTTCAATCTATATATTTTAAAAATGGGTTTTTAATTCTGAGAGTGATGACATCCAATTCAACAGGATGGTCTGGAGAAGTAATTACATGAAATGGGGAAAGTGCCAGTGCATATGTCCAAAATGTTCAATCCAAAAAATAGTATTTCAATCTACAGGTGGATTAAAGCCCAGAACTTCACTCCGGTTGTAGAGAATAAAGCTGCCAATAATCCATATTGTCAAAACAAATAGTCTTAGAATATAACATTGGACAGGAATATTTTCATAATGTAAAATTGAAGACCCTTGATTATCTTTAGCCCAGCAAAAGTTTGATTTCAAGTTACATGTATTAAAATGTTTATTAAATATGGAAAATATATTATATTGCAGAGCTCTGAATTATATGAAATGGCAGATAGCCACCTCACCCTCCCAAAATCCCTTTAGACAGTATATATAGTTAAAACAAGGAATTTACATCTGTATAAGTAAGGAAGGGGTTAGGCCAGAGGTGAGCCTTAACTGCAAACAACCACAGATGTAAAATACTGTTAGTCTCTTAGCACCATTTTGGAATATCTAGGTCATTTCCAAAGTACGACTAGAGTGACTGGAACCAATATTTCACGGTGATGGTGGAACATGGCAAAGCATTGAAGCTTCATTTTAGTTTGTAATCCTTTTACCTCAGTGATATTTGTGGGGTGCAAGATGGTGCATGTGACATCATGATACCAGCTCTGCCCCCTTTATATGTACATCAGTGTTGCATGCACATGCAAAAGAGGTGAGTCTTGTATGTTATGTTTCATCTGTCATCTTGCCTAGTGTGGTTTACCCCATACTGTACACACTTCACAACATGTTGTCATTAGCCTCAAGCCTGAGCAAGGAGGGACCTAGTGCTTCAATGGAGATGAGCACCACCCCCTAGAGTCAGAGGTGACTAGCACATGTGCGACGGGAACCTTTACCTTTACCTTTAAATGAAAAAACAACAACTGAGATATATTATATAGGATGTAAAGCTGACCTATGCGTGGTGTGGTGGTGGCAGATGTTTCTCTCTTGGGACACAAAGAAAAAAATATCTGCTGTGAACTCTGTGTGGCACCAGGGAGGGCATCTGACCAGTAAACATTCAGCTCCATCCAGTTGCCCCAACTCTACTCCGAATTAAGGGATTATAAAGTTGTAAAAAGGGAGGGATTTTTTAATTGCACAGCCTCCAATTTACTGGCTCCTTCGGATGTAAATGCATCAGTTAGCAAACTTAAAAATTAGCTATATAAAGTTGAGCAACCATATTTGGGCCAAAAACATAGGAAAAAAGTATTAATTCTTTTCTAACATTTCAATTTCTGCAGCTTTCGTATTCTTTGTTAATCCTAATTTTAAAAAATTGGTTATTAGTCTCCACTAGGTGGCAGAAATGAAACATGGAAAACTTTTCCATGAGCCTTCTGTTGAAAGCTTTTCTCTCTCTCTTTTTTTAAATTAATGTTCATCTTAGAACTAAACAACATCTGTAACTAAAATGTATTTTTAAATGGTGCACAATATCATATAAAACAACCTTTTATGGTGCCAAATTCTTAAGGAGTCCAACTTTTAGAGAAAACTTTTTACAGTTTGGTAAATTAACAGCTTTTTTGGAGTGGGAGATGGGACAAAAATATTTACTAAGAAGAAACTGCTGAATTCCTGGAAGAAGAAAGTAACACTTTGCATTTCCCATGATCCCCAGAGGGAAGTCAATAGCTTGAGCCTAGAACAATTCACCTTTGAGAGGCGGATTTCCATCCTTCAAAAATGGGCAACATTTTAGTGAGTTCTGCCCTTGATATGTGGAAGACCAAAGGCAACCTGGAGAAGAATGCTTGATTCTGAACCAACATGTTATGTATTTTTTTCTGGCAAAAAGTTACTCAAAATTGCAAATGCTAGAGGAGAAATGTACACAATTATCTATATACAATTCTGTACCAAAAGACATGAAAATCAAAAATTAAGAAGAAAAGCTGAACAAATCTAGAGCCATCCCATTTTTCCATCTCAAGTATATTTTATTCGTATAATTTGTATAATCTAGTGTTTTTACACCTCATATATCGTAATATCATTAAATTCTAGTATAATCCATATTCAAGAATTGTAAAAGCCTGAGTGTTCATTCTCCAGATAAATCCTACTTCTGTTGACATCACACAAATATACTATTTCTATTGCAGACATTTGTCCATTCAGCATTTCTGAACATCTCCTGAACGTCTCTGGATGAAAAGCTTTCTTGCATAAGATTCTGGGCATGTTGGTGCCTGTGGAAGAAAGTCCTCATTTCAGCAATGGGGAGAGAGGGGATGGGTCAGAACTTATCTGAAGCTTTCTCATGAAGAGCAGCCCAGTGGTGGATTTCAAAAATTTTTACTACTGGTTCTGTGGGAGTGGCTTGGTGGGCGTGGCAGGGGAAGGATACTGTAAAATCTCCATTCCTACCCCACTCCAGGGGAAGGTTACTGCAAAATCCCCATTTCCTCCCGATCAGCTGGGACTTGGGAGGCAGAGAATAGATGGGGGCAGGGCCAGTCAGAATCTTTACTACTGGTTCTTCGAACTACTCAAAATTTCCGCTACAGGTTCTCAAGAGCTGGTCAGAACATGCTGAATCCCACTTCTGGAGCAGCCTGGATTTTACAATTCCTGAACAAAGAGATGCCCCATCACACTTTACATAAGAATAAGAGATCAGGCTTTATGTAAAAATAGAAGAGGGAAAAAGTTATAGTTTTTCTATAATAAAAGGTGCTAATGATTTTACATGGCACAATAGATTTTAAAACCATGAAATCCATAAAAAAAAAAAAAACTTGACCTAACAGTTGCATCCCAGTTGCAAGTTGTATAAAACCCTCTTCCTTCAACATAAGACTTTGTTCCTGAACAACTGAATTGGATACATTCCAAATGACACACACACAAATGGCATTGGCCATTAAAAACAACAATACAAAATTCATATGACTTTATTAGAAAAATTAAAAATCACAAAAATAAAATGCTTTGTCCAATGCCTAATCCTTTTTAAGATTTGTAGCCTAAATGTAAAATTAGACCCTTGAAAAGTAATTCTTTGAACCAAACTTATGTTTATATGAGGAAAAATGGGTTCATCATGAAACAGTTTGATTCAACTACTGTATATCTTTCAAAGATCCTGAAGCACCGGGGAACTGCCAGAGAACTGGAAAAGAGTTGATGTAGTTCCCATCTTCAAAAAAGGGGAAAAATAGATCCAGGAAACTACAGACCTATCAGCCTGACCTCAATACCACAGAAGATTCTGGAAAAGATAATAAAAAAACAGATCTGCCAACACCTAGAAGCAAACAAAGTAATAACCAAAAGTCAACATGGGTTTCTCAAAAACAGATCATGCCAGACTAATCTTATTGCATTCTTTGACAAAGTGACAAAATTAGTGGACCAGAAGAATACTGTCGATATAATTTACTTGGACTTCAGTAAGGCATTTGATAAAGTAGACCATAACCTACTACTAGATAAAGTAGAAAAATGTGCGTTAGACAGCATCACCACCAGATGAATTCGTAACTGGCTGACCAACTGTACTCAACGTGTAATCCTCAATGGAACTGCATCTACATGGAGGGAGATATGCAAAACATAAATTTTTTTTTTTAATTTGATCTATATGCCGCCCTTCTCTGGAGACTCAGGGCGGCTTACAATGCGTTAAGCAATAGCCTTCATTCTTTTGTATATTTTATATACAAAATTTGATCACACAAACAGAAATTGCGAGGAATATCAAATTTGTAAAACAGAACCAGTTTGAACATGCAAATAAAACAGGGCGATGGCTGGCATATAAACTGAAGCAAGAAAAAGAGAGAAGGACAATCCATGAACTACAGGACGACACAGGAGAGATACACTATAGGAACAAGGACAAAAAGGAAATAGCAAGAACTTTTTTCCAGAAACTATACAAACAGGAAGAATCTTCAGAAGAGGACATCAAACGATACCTCAATGAAGTTGATATCCAAG